AAAAAAAAAAAAAAAAAAAAAAAAAAAAAAAAAAAGGCACAGGGTGAAGAAGATGACAGGAGAGGCCCAAAAGAGGCCAAAGACCAAAAAAAGGAAAGATGGTCATGTGTTTTATCAAGAAATACCTTAGGAAGTCTGAGCTTAGAAAATCACGTTTAGGTTGTATCCAATGGAATTGGGAAAGAGAATGCACAAAAGTATCATCTTAGAGCTAAAGTGACACATACTAGGTATCAGTTATTGCCAAATAAGTCCAGTGGCAGTATGGACATACACAAATGAGAAAAGCATGGGAAAAGTAGGCTGAAGATTAAAAATTACAATAATGAAGAGAAGAGGGAGGATAAAACAAGTAAAGGGATAACAATGAATATTTATTATAAATTGATATAAAACATTTATGTAAATGTAGTTGACTTTGGAGTGCAAAGAACTGGAAATATGTACAGTATGAAAATGTCCTTTATAAATAAAATGCGCTTTGAGACCAAAAAGAGATGATAGATAAAAAATGTTTTGGAAATTGCAAAGTACTGAACAAAAAGATATAAAAAAATCTGAACTTGCAAAGCCTTTAAGCTATGGGGAGAACATACGCATAAAAATACGGGGCTTCAGTCTATAAACAAAGAAGCCCCAAACCTAAGGGTTTCTTTTCAGATTATAGGAGGGAAGCAGAAGAGCATGGTGGTTAAAGCACAGTTTCATATCCTGGCTCTGCCACTTTCAAGCGGTGTGACTTTAGCCTCTCTGAGCCTCAGTTTCCTCTAGGAAAGTGGAGGTAATAATATATACACCTCAGGGGGTTGCTGTGAGGATTAATTAAGACCAAGCATGTAAAGCGCTTGGCATGAAACCCAGCCCACTGCAAACACGCCATAAATGTTAGCTGTTGACAGGAAAGTCAGGGAGCAGAGAAACTTAAAGCATCTCTATAATTACATGAATTGTGATGAAACAAGTTAAACTCTTGCTTGGTTTTCTTCTAAATTGGATTTTGTAAGCTAAACCTGATTCTCTCAGTATCTGAGAGCAGTTGCTAGGAGAAACTGGCAAAAGGCAATGAAGTGGTGAACTCAGCCATTGTTCCTAAAATAAATATGAAATGAGATGGGAGGCTTTGGAACAACTTCTCAGAGGGAAGAAACGACTTCCCAAATGAGAAGTCAATCTAGGACACCGACAGGATGGTGGTGGGAGAGAGGCCAGAAGCAAGAGACACAGAAAACAAGCTCCTGCAAAATGGAGGCCTCCGGGACCTCCTTTTTGTGAAAAATGCCTATAGCTGGGAATCACATACGATCATTTATGGAGCTATGTATTTATGTACCTTAGGGAGAGAATGGAAGCTGGATGTGTGAAGAAAAGATAGAAGAACGTGTAGATGTATTTGCTCATCTTATTGGAGGAAAAACAAATGGCTGGGGGAGAGTTTACACAAGGTCAGGTGCATGGGGACGACATCCACAGAGCTGGCTTAGAGTTGTTTTACTGTGTTATTATCAGCTGTATGAGTCAAACGTGTTCATCTCGCTAAGATTCTGTTCCCTCACCTGTAAGAGGAGACCAGGACTATGTGCCTAAGAGGGTGAGCATGAGGCTGAAATAGACAGAGCTTGTAAAGTGCTTAAGTGAGAATGCAACGGATGGCTCACACTGCTGGTTCTGACATTACTATCCATAGAAGTAGGAAGCGTTAACTTTATCAAATATTTGTAAGGTGTTCTCATATATTGCATCCATAAAACATAACTTTAACCCATTTCTACTCGAGTGTATCACTTAATTTTGTTGCTTATAAGAAAGTTTTAGTAAGAGAAATGCATGCATTTTTATTCACAAAGAATCGGTAGTTAATGTTATTCTTGACCTGTTTAAAAGAGGGACCCCTAACTCTGCCCCAGGGCATACATTTGCAGGGTTAGTTACTTTAGAAAGTAAAAGAGAAATTTCTGAAACCTCTGGCAGGGCTTGATGGGTTTGTGACTAAATCAATGAGGAGGTTATGGAAATATGATTTATAAACCTCCTCTTGCATATGGTACCTCATCCTCTTATGTTCATTTTAGTGTCTGCCTTTGTACACATCTTGGTGGTAAATGGGAGACAAAGACTTGGTCTGAATCATTTGCTCAACAAAATCACTGTTAAGCTCTTAGGAATGAAGAAAGGTCTGTGGAAATTTTTCCAAGTGTGAGCAAGTAGCTATTATCTGTCGAATAGCCACTTGGATTCTCCAACTAGTTACCTTTTGGTCTATGTTACTCTTTTAAGATGCTGTTTGTGACATAATCCAGCCTCTCTAAGTGGCTGTTCATTATAGGGTGAGAAATACTGAACAAATATAACCCTGCCAGATGCAAATCGAAGTCTCTCCCAGGAAAATCACAAAATGCCTTTTATGAAGTCATTTAAATGAGTCACACAGATAGTAAGCAATGAAATTTACAAATATGTATCTAATGATTCCCATTATTCATACTTAATATGGCAAATGGATAATTTTAGAGGTTGCTAAATCAAATGATAAGTGCTTCAGCTGTTTAAATTCACCAAATTTCTTAATGAAAAACAGACAGTGCTGGCTGACAAGAATGCTAACCAAATGGTCCCTTCCAGCCTGACTAGAATAGAGGGGAGAGTATAAAGCAGAGAGATGACTCTGAACACATTGTATTTTAAAGCAAAAGCCGATGTCGTTCTTCCATTCCAAAGCATATGCAAACTCTTCTCTCAGCATCCATTTAAAATGAAATTCAAATCGGTACCGCTTTTGCAAGCTTCACACCATGCTCATAAGTGAGAGGTTTCTCTTTCATATACAGCAAACGGGCCAAGGTTTTAGGGTCATCTCGGAGATCAATCTGGCAAAAAACACACATGTGATACAGTTATTTATTTTTTCAGGCCTCACCAGATGTTTAAAACTGTGACATAATAGAGATGCTTTTCCCCTTGACACCTATGAATTTTCTTTAAGGAAGCACATACACATGGCCATATTATGTCTAAAAATTAGAGTGAGTTCTTTGTAAATGTATACACCAGGCTTTCCTTATAGTTTCCCCTTCAAAGCTATTACCCTGGGAGCTGATTCGAATGATTCTGTAGCTGTTTCAAATGTTTTTGAAATTTCCTGTTTATTTCTAGGTCCCACTTATAGGATATACAAAATAATCGATCTGTCTTACTACTGTACGGTGATGCCTCATTTGATCCCTGGTTATACTACTCATTATCTAATAGTTTATTTCCTGGCTCTGAATATATATATATATTTTGGCGGGGGGACAGTTTCCAAACCAAGTCTTCACCCTCAAAGCGATGAAGATTTGCCACCTGTGAGGATATTCTAACAAATGTGCTGCAGGCTCTGAAGGCAAGTCCTAAAAAGGGCTGCTGGAGATTCAAACTATGGAACTTTATTAGCTTTCAAAACACTTTAAAGGCTTTTACAATCACAGCTTTATCTGGTATATATCTGTTTTAATGTTTTTTTAAGATCTGAGATATCGGGGGCTTAAAGGGAATAGAGAGCAATGAATTTCTGTCTTCCTTTTCAAGGGCTGTTCCTGAAGAGTTTTTTTTTTTTTTTTTTGCGGTACGCGGGCCTCTCACTGTTGTGGCCTCTCCCGTTGCGGAGCACAGGCTCCAGACACGCAGGCTCAGCGGCCATGGCTCACGGGCCCAGCCGCTCCGCGGCATGTGGGATCCTCCCGTACCGGGGCACGAACCCGTGTTCCCTGCATCGGCAGGCGGACTCTCAACCACTGTGCCACCAGGAAGCCAGCCCCTGAAGAGTTTTTGTCATAATGAGTCTTTTCTGATTGCTGCGGTCATTTTGACATTCACAACTATTTTGTGACTTTCAAACAATAATGGGTTTTAGATATAAAAATATTAGATAATAAGTGTAATTGACATCTGCACCTCATTCCTCTGGCTCAGGACTGGCTCAGGAGAAGGTTGTCTATTTAAAAAGTTACTTTGTTATTTAAAAGCAAAAAGCGGAGAGATTAACTTTAAAGGCCCCATCAAATCTTCCTGTTTCATATTAAATAGCTTTGCTGTCTTTTCAACCATGGGCTAAATAATCATTCAGTTCTTAATAAAGGCTGTTCATAGGATTAATGTATCTGAGACACTCTTCTATAGTGTTTGATAGAATAGGATGTTCAGGAGTTGCGAAAGGGTCTTTTCTTTTTCACAAACCCTCCACCGACCGACCCTCCCTGCCATGCCCGCCTTCGAACCTGGGTCCCTATGAGGACGTAAGGCACGTGAGGCATGCAGTCCTTCAGCTCCGGGACCCACTCCTCCTGGACGTTGTGATAAGAGGCAGGATTTACGACGGAGAAGCAGATCAAAAACACATCCGTGTTGGGGTAGGAGAGCGGCCTCAGCTGGTTGTAATCCTCCTGCGGGAAGAGCAAAGAGTTTGTGCTTTTGTATAGTCGGGTGAGGTGTGGCCACGTGGTTCCAGGGAGTGCCTCGGGAAAGATTCCACCGCCGTGCCCTTCGACCCCATTCCTTCCCTGACCCTGGAATCTGGTGGTTTCCTATATTACAAGAAGTAAAGGAGCCATCAATCCGGAAAACACCTGTTTGTTCTGTATAAAGATTATGAATTGCCTCTGTTTAAGATGAACTAAAAAAAAACCTAAAAAAAGTTTTAAAAATAGCTTTAGTGAGGTAATTTACATACCATGAAGTTCATCCATTTAATGTGTATAACTCAGTAAGAATTATTGCAATTCTGTCCCTTGGGAATTGTGTTGTATTGAATATGGATTTAAATCAGTGGGCCATTGGCCAAGGCACAGAAATTCTCTCCTTATATAACTGAAAAAATTGCATTGAAATTTAATTTAGAATAAGCTAACTCGAATGCAAAGCAGAGCTGTTGCCAAATCATACACCACAATATTTGAATAAATATCTTGTCTGAGGGTTTAGAGCTAAGAATTTGGGGATTTGTTTCTAAATCTACCTAAAAGCCATACTGTGGCCTAATAAATAAAATGCCAGATTAATGACTTTTCCCCAAAGACTTTTCAGACCAGAATATGCTCTAGTTGAAGAGCTCCTGTTTGCGTAAGATGTTTATGTATATGCTGTTTTAGTGGGAGATGACAGAGACAAAGAAAAACATTGGATCATCTCAACTTTGGGAAAATGTCAGCAAGTACCTTTTATTGTATGTAAAATGTTTTAGGAGGTTCCAAGGTAAAATCTGCTATTTCATTAGAAGGTTTAATCTATTTTCATAGAATTTGGTAACACATAAGCCCAAAGTAACTTTATGTGTGTGTATATTTTACATGTATATACTATGTATACACACATGTTCTCACATACCACAATATGACAAAATGTTCATACACACTATGTGTAATTTATATACATATACACACTACATACAGGCACACATTATACATACATACATAGGTGCAATCAAATCTATATGTTCACACTTATACATGTGTACATAGACATGGGCAACATATCAATTCATTTATTAGGGTCTGTCCTTACTACTCTTCCTAACACTTAAAAAAGTTACAAAATTTATATATGCTCTTCGCAAAAATTCAAACATTACGGAAGTACATAGAATAGAAGTAAAACTTTGTTCCCATCCTGCACTTGATCTCTAAGAGTTTTTCCTCTCTTCCCAGAGGAAGCAGCTATGTAACAATATCCTTCTGAACTTTTAATATTTATTTACGTATATAACATACACATGTTTATTTAAAAAACAAATCGATTATATAGCTCATATTGTTGTGACACTTGTCTTTTTCAACTTAATAGGTCATGGATAGTTAAAAATATTGACCTCACTATCTTTCTGTTGACCCTAATAATGTCTTTATAAAAAGGGGGTGTACACATATGCCCCTTCCAAGGGGAGGAAGCCCCTTGGAATGTCAAGGGTGGTCATCTCTGGTTGGTAGACGTGCATTTATCTATCATTTACTCAAGGTGCCCAGCACACAGGGACTCAGTATGCATGGCTGGCACTATTACTGCTTTTAATACTAACAAAATCTAAGCAAAATTCAATGCAAGCTGGCAAGGATGCTGAAAAATCCTAAAATCCTAAAAAGTGAACTAAAAGAACACACAAAACAATCAGTCATTGTGGTTGAGTACATTGCTTAAAAACTGATTGGGCCAGGCCTATGATTGCATCTCAATCAAGTTGTGCCCATGGCTCTGTGTGTGTGTGTGTGTGTGTGTGTGTGTGTGTGTGCGCGCGCCTGCATGGCGGGGGTGGGAGTGTGGGAGGGGACAGCTTGTCTCTTGTCAGTGACTCTTCCTCTTTCCACAGCTAGCCCTGAAAGCCAAATCTGTCCCACAGTCTCTCTGCCCCTCGCCTTTCTCGCTGGGACTTTCTCTCTCACAGTAGCTGTGAAGCCCACACGCCAAGAACTCTCCTTCCCGGCCCATAATCTACAGCTGCTCATGATGCCACCTGCTCCCTGCCACTTCATCCTCTCATCTGCATTGTCATAAATGGAGTAGGGGGCGTGTTGTTTTTTTCTCATGCCCCACTTGTACTCTGTCCATAGCAAGTATTCCATAAATGCTGTTGACTGATTTTGATGACACCCGGTCTGCAGAGACCTGCAGATGAACACATGGTTTTTCTGTCTATCATTTACTGCAGTAGTTTTCATTAGAATCATCCAGGGAGCTTTAAAAACATCCTGATGCCCTGCTAACCACCTACCTGCCTCTACCTTCCCTAACCTGGGACCAGTGAAATCAGAATCTCTAGAGAGTGGGCTTGGGTATCTGAGTATTCTGATTTCATTGGTCTGAGGTTGGCATGGAGTTGAGAACAACTGATTTACATCATCTTCAGTGTCAACAGAGGATGTATCAGGGGCTTATTACTAAGGGCCAGGCACTCTTTCAAGCTCTTACATGCATTATCTAGTTGAATCCTCACACTAGCACTGAAAAGATGGTACCGTCAACATCTGAGTTTCATAGAAGAGGAAGTTAAGGTTTAGAGAAATTCAGCACTGGACCAATGTTACAGAGCTATTAAGCACCAGGATGGGGGTATTTAGCCTGAATCCAGCTCTAGCTCTTAATTGTGACCACACGATTTGCTTCAGCCCGGAATTTTAAGGGACAGATTAAGACTTTTCTTGAAAGTTCATTTATCCAGGAATCTTAATATGGATTCATACTTTACCCAAGGATCTAGGAAAAGAAATGTTAGAGACTATGGGGTGGGTATAGTACCTATTTCTACAGAGCTATAGAGAGGCATATCTCTAGGCCTGCATCTACCAGAAATTACCACCAGATGGCAGCAGACACTGTATATTTAAAACCTCAAAGCTTAAAAAAGCACAAAGGAGAGAAATGTCAGAACTAGGTAAGTTGGGTCACAACTAGATAAGCAAATAACTGGTAGTCTGAAAGGATCATGTTTACTTGATTCTTTACCTAGAAGCTCTCAAAGGAATTCTGCTCACATTATGGAAAAGTTAGGAAGACCCCTGGTTGCTGGATTAACTGTAGGTGGGAAGGTGAAAAGAGTTTGGTTTTTCGGTAATTTACCCTCCTGGTAGGTCCAGCTGAGTGACTTCTGACTGTGTCCTTCATTGGGCTTTATCCTGCTCTGTATTCTGGATCTCTAGTCTGTGGAAACCTTAGTCCTGCTGTATAATTCCATTTAAAAAGATTTATTAATTGCCTACTGAATGTCTAGCATACAACATTCAGGATGCTATATGAACTATATAAGGCTAAAAGAATTGGCAAGCTAGTGGGGGAAAAAATGAAAATATGGGAAACCGATTTATGTGAAAATGAGACAGGTGAAGTTTCTCTTGCTTTTAGTAAGCTCTCTGATAATAGAATAATGTAGAATAGTTATTTGACTGAATTGGGAAAATACAATTTCAAGGCTGGAAGAGGTCTTAGAGGTTAGTGCAGTGGCTCCCAAAGTAGGGTCCCGACTCGCAGCATGGGCATCACCTGCGAGCTTGTAAAGGATGCATATTCCCCCGTGCCACCCAGCCTTCCTGAAGCTGAGGCTCTGGGGGAGGGGTTGCTCCACCTGTGTCCTAACAAGCCCTCCAGGTGACTGTCATAGCTCAAGTCTAGACACTGAATGATTTAATCAGGACTACAGAGCAAACGTACCTCTAAAGAAGGCTCACACCTAGGCTGATCGGGCTCATTTCAGCCCCCATTTGCCACTGGCTGCAGCTATGACACGCGGCAGTGGGTTCAGGATTAATAAAAGTAAGTGTCCCCTCAGACTGAGGCCTGGGTGCTGGGAGTTTGGGGGACTTGAATTTGTACCAGCTGATAACTCGGGTGATTATTTTTTGCAGTGGGGCACGTTTTGGGTCTTGGTTGGACGCGCACATGTTGAGATGACAGAAAGGGGCTCTGAGGATTGGGTCAGTGGTTTATTTTGTATTTGAGCCCCCTTCCAATGTTGAAACTGAGAATGGAGGACTATAAGAGTGACCCAAAGGGGGCTTCAAGGGCTAAAGAGGACAAAGAGGCTGGGCAGGGGATGGGGGTGGAGGGAAGGGTGGGATTTGGGCAAGGTAGGCTTTTTTTTTTTGCGGTACGCGGGCCTCTCACTGTCGTGGCCTCTCTCGTTGCGGAGCACAGGCTCCGGACGCGCAGGCTCAGCGGCCATGGCTCACGGGCCCAGCTGCTCGGCGGCATGTTGGGTCTTCCTGGACTGGTGCACGAACCTGCATCCCCTGCATCGGCAGGCGGACTCTCAACCACTGCGCCACCAGGGAAGCCCAGGGTAGGATTTTGAGTGCTTTCCACCCGACTTCACTCCAAAGGCAGGAGAGTGTTTGGTCTGAAGGCAATCTGGTGTTCTGGGGTAACTATGGGTGATTATCAAACAAGAAAAGTTCAGGGACAGCCTCAGCTTCAGACGGGCCGAACACCTTGGGCTCGAAATATGCCTGGAACAGCCGCATCATGATGGCACAGGTGGTGAGCAAGTGAAACCATTAGACCAACCCTTCTCAAACTTTATGCATTTTTGAATCACCTGGGGATCTTGTTCAAATGCAGATTCTTATTCAGCAGCGGGCCTGGGATGAAGTCTGAGAATTTGCATTTGTAACCGGTTTCCAGATGGTGCTGATACTGCTGGTCCGGGGACCACACTTTGAGAGGCTAGGAGCATTGCACTGAGCATCCCCTCCCCTCCTCCCCACCCCCATAGCTATGTTAAATTGGAAATGGAATTCTGCTTCCAAGCCCTGTTGGTTTAATGGTATTTACCCCAGATTTTCAACACATTCTCACTTTCGTATTCTCCCATAAGTACACTCATATCTGTCAGGCTTGGTTTGGAAAATGTGGACAGCACACATAGGGCAGGAGTGGCAGCATAGTGTTTAAGAACATGGGCTAGGGAGACATATTCTCTGGTTTCAAATCCAGATGGCCTATTGGGTCAGCTGATAGCAAAGAGGAAGGCTCCTATCCTTCCAGGTTGCCATTAATGAACCCCAGGTGTACTTGGCCTCCCTGCCTGGTCCTTATGTCTCTCTCTTCAGCCCTTGCGGGGGCAGGGGGCAGGGAGGAGGGAAGGAGAAGGGTTTCAGAATCCAGGACAGGTGAAGACACGTGGTGTGCAGCCCTGGCTGAGTGAGGGGTACAGCTGATGGCCTTCCTGCTTCCCAACTTTCGTGGTCACCGGTGACAGCTGGGCTGCTGTGGTTTCTCAGTGACAGACACCATTCTGTGCTCGGCTGCCAGCAGACGGCCCCCGATCCAGCAGTGCTTGTGTGCAGAGAACTCAGGGGTTTATCCTGCTGACAAGCCAGCCTCCTGATGCTAGGAGATTCTCACTCCTCCCTGGTACTACTGCTAACTGCCGCTTTTGCAAACGTTGCTTTTGAGATACGTCCATCCTGGAGTTTGGCCTGAGAGGTCACAATCACAGCAGGGTTTTACCCACGTTGCTCCTGGAGGCCAGGGCCCACGAGAGAAAGAGACAAGGTGTCTTAGTACCGGGACTGGTTCCAGTCTAGGTGGTCGGCTGAGGGGTGGGAGGATGCCTGGTTCAAGGCCGTGACCTGGGAAACGCCCCTCTCCCACTTTGGCATTCCTTAGCCGGCCAGTACCCAGGCTTGCGGCAGTATCCCCACCCCAGCTTCCTGCTCTCCCTCGTGACACACTCTAAAGAAACTGGCCTGCAATCACGTCATTTAAAAGTCGGCTCTCTGACTCTCTGTAGTCAAGCCAAAGATCTGAGCTCTAGAAATCCCTTTCAGAGACTCTCCGTAATGCACTTAGGAGGGGCAAGAGTCACACAGGCTGGGTTGGCAGGACCTAAATAGATCTGGTTTACAGACCAGGCCTTATTGCCTCCCCAGTGTGAGCTGAGGGGGTAACATGCTGAGTCACCCTGTACAAAAACCCCTCACTTCATTGCCTAACCGACTGTTTGGAATTCTACCCAACAGATGAACCAGAGTTCTGAAGGCTCTTTGTCTTCAAAAGACTCCACTCAAAGTCCAAGTATCAGTTTGTTTCGGGGGCTTGGGGAGAGAGCTAATGTTTAATAGCAGCTGCCACGTGCTGGCAGTGTTTGCACGTGACTTCATCATAACCTGCCTTTAGCAGATGCTCGGCTGGCTTGTGCAGTGCTGCAAGCGTGTCTCAGGCGCGGCTGGCAGGGCTGCAGTGATGCCTGAGGTGACTAGGTGTGGCGAGGTGGAGGGAACCAGGTCGAATGATTTTGTCCAGGGCTGGCTTTGAGGCTAGAAATAACGAGTTCCTATCAGTTTATCTTTCCGAACACATGTGCTTCTTGAAGTTGTTTTTGTTAACTCTGAGCCACAGTTATCTCAGGACAAAGATGAGGGGCACTGCTCCTTGATTTGTTCATGTGAGAAAATCTAATTATTCACAGCAAGATGGAACCCTATAGCCAGGTTCAGAGACTTTATTTCTTTTTTTGCGGCTCAGGGATTAATCAATTGGTTTTGAGATCACTGCTCTTCCTTGTTAGTAACTCTGACCAGATGAGTAATTTTGAATTAGTTATAGATCTTCCTTAGCCACGTGACCTCAGCAACATTTGTTAGAATATAACTGAGGAGGCTAGATTATCCTCCTTGAGGCTGGGAATGGAAATGTTGGGACAATGCTTCTAAATTAAATTTGTCACAAAGCCTTATTGGTAGAGTCGTAGAACCATGGGAATCAACTTGGGTAATGGTTATTTCCCACCATATCCTCCTAACATTAGGAACAATGTTTCAACCACCAAAGACTCCAAGGGTCATGATTCTTAAATTTTAATGTGCATACGAATCATCTTCTTCAAATGCATTTTCAGATTCAGTAGGCTGGGGACAGAGCCTGAGATTCTGCATTTCTAATAAGGTCCCTGGCAATGCTGCTGGTTGGTGGACCAGACTCTGAGTGGTAAGGTTCTAGAACCATGGTTCTCAAAGTATGGTATACAGACCAGCAACAGCAGCACTGGGAAACCTGTCAGAAACATAAGTATTAATACTTAGGCACCATCCCAGCAACACTGCGGGTGGGGCCCAGTGACTGGGTTTTAACAAGCCCTACAGGTGACTCTGATCCCTGCTCAAGCTTGAGAACCACTGTTCCACAAAATGAATTATTCATACGCGTCATCCTTCAGTGGAATGCATTCCAATACCCAACAGTCCTTTACTGCTGAGAGGTCTCCCTTAGGTCTAGCCTCAAATTGTTTTGTTTAGTTATTCTGGTTCTTTTAGGCATTCTCGAGGTCATTTTTAAAGGTCCTAATCATAGAATTTTAGTCCTATAAGGAGCTTTAAGATGTGTTCTGATTTCTTTTCCCCATGCTTTACGCTCCCCTATGAACCTTGTCCACCTCTGGGCTTTCAGAGTAGCTGGTGGAAAGCATTAAAGTGAAAGTTAAATTGAAGAAATATCTATAACCCATTTGTTGTTATATTCTATCGGTGCTCATCACTTTCTTCTGTGTCAGAGGTTTGGGTCAATTTGGAGTTTAAAGATATTTTTTCTTCTGCCTTAGAGTCTCAACTCCTATACTAGTATTATTAAATTTTTCTAAGGACAGAACAGTGGGAAAGAATAATTAAACTGCTTTTATGCAGTTTTATTGGATTCAAAATTAAATAGAGGCCAGGGAGGCTGTTCTGGGGGCAATTAACACACAGAAGCAAACAATTGTGGTGGATTGCTATAGAACTGGGGAGAACTGGGTGGGCACAAGGGGCACAGAGAGCATTTTTAGAAGGCAAGGGAAACAGAAAGAGGTTTCAGAATCAGGCAATAATTGTTGCTGTATTGAATTTTTCAAACTGGATTATATTAATAAAATATGATTATGGAGGTAAAGGGTGTAAACTCTTTTTTCAGGCTGTGAGTCCCTGATGGATGGGGACACCCCAATGACTGTGTGATTGAATGAGGGTAGGCAACTCCAGCCCGAACAGCAGTCTCCCTCTATTGCTGGAATGATTTCTGGTGGAGGGGCAGTCAAGCATGAGCTGCACTGAAGCCCTGTACCTTAGCTCAAAGGAGCCAAATCACCTTTCCAATCTGGGCATCTGTGGGCATCCTTTTCTAGTCGTGCGTCTCGGTATTGATGTGAGAGGTCTCCTCCAGTCTCCAGTTCCTGAGACTAATTGGCTAAAACACCCATCAGCCAGCGAGGGGAAACTGGAGGCTTTTAGGAGCTTTGAGTCTGGTGCTAGATTTTCCAAGTTCTCCACTGCCTGGGCCTGCCCAACATCTGACTTTGATGTTCCACAGGCATTTATACAGTGGTTCTTGCAAATGCACACAGAAATCCTAAAGAGAATTTTATTTATTATGATTTTTTTTTTTTAGTATAGAGATACCAAATTGAGCAAAAAGACGTATCTCCAGATAATTGTGAAAAAAATCTAGACAAATGCATAACTACAAATAACAATTACCAGGAAACTCACAGTGGGCATAAGCATGGTCTAATGTTCACTCCAAAGGACTTAAGATGTATGAATTTGGACAGACTGAACAACCCGCTGATTTTGACCTAAATAAATGACCCAGGATGTATGGTACCAAAAGCTCTGTCAAAGAAATTGGGCCATAACCATCAGTTGCTTAACCTCTTCCCCTCTAGCCCATGAACTTGTAACATTAGACACTTTTTTGTAGTGGAGTGTGGGATGCAAGGAAAAAAAGATAAAGCGGCATTTTCACCCAAGCAGAGCATGTGCTAACTGATTAAGCACTGAGGGTTCCAGTCCATTGCCTTACATTATTGTTTGGCCAGGTTCTCCAACTTGAAGAAATATTTCTGACAGAATGAGCATATTTCAGAAATCTTGGAGAATTTAGAGTTATTCCCAGTTATTCAGGGGTTGACCCTCACTTTGGGAAAACATCCAGGATCCTGGATTTTCTTGCTTCTAACACTTAATCCATCTTCTTCCTACTCCTTGATCCCCATCACCTATCTCTTTTTGTACCTTTCCACAGCTTGTTAGGCAATTCAAATAAAGAGCAGGCAAAAAATATAACACGAAAAAAAATAATGGGTGAAACTAAAATTTATGAAATTGACTCAGTAATCCTGGATCTGGAATTGATATGGGTAGGAAGAAACTGGAACTCTCGGCCAAATATGTTATTTTGGTTAGTGATAGTCGTCAACCAATAAATGAATGGTTATTTGCCTATCAACACCTTGAATCCTACAATGATTTAGTTTTCTGTAATTAAAAATATTTTTAAGATATTCAAAATATTTTGGTTGTCATTTAGGTAGACAATAAATTTGCCCCAAGTGATCAGAGGGGGTAATATCTGTACCGTTAGTCCCCATATGCCTAGCCAAATGGATCATTCTTCCTGCCCCACCCCCCCAAACTCTTAATGAATCAAGGTAAGAAAAATGTACCTGTCCTGCGGTGTCATACAGTCCGAGCAAGTGTTGCTTGCCTCCCACTGTCACAGTAACTAGGGGAGAAGAGAAAAGAGGAGAGACTGTAAATGCAAAGCTTCAATCAGGAGTCTTCACGTTTCTCTATGCCAGCATCTCCTTGGGCAGCAAGGACAAGCATATGCCTCACCCGTGTATATTCGAAACAAAGTTGACAGCATGCTTGCCAAATGAAAGGCAACCTTGGGCTGCAGTGAGAGCAGATGGGCTGAGCCAAGTCCAAATTTCTCCACCGAGGTGAATACTACTGGTGCCACTAGGGCACTCTGCAGGCTGTTCATTGATCCTGATTAGGCCCAGTAATATCAAGCTCCTGAAGGAAAAGGACGCTGGACTCTTTCTTGGTTAGTTTATTTTCTTCTTTCATTTGGTTTGAGCCACCTTTCGGGATATAGACTCGTGTAAGCAACCTTTCTGTTAGAAATCTCTCGGCTTTTATGTGTCATCAAAATGTTAAAAGACCCTGAAAACAAAGGATATTAACCCACCTGCCTATGTTATAGTCTATAAGGCAAAGCTAATAATGAAATGCGAAGGGCTTAACGTTTATTTCAAAAAGTGTTTTTATTAAATATCCCTGTGCTTTAGCTCAACTGATTCATTACAGTTTGAACCTTAGTTGCAGAAGGAGGCGTTGTATATGGGTTTCATCTCACATAACTGAAGGGCATATATAGAGTGCAAAGTAGAGAGTTTGATTTACTCAGCAGGCTTATTGCCTTGCCAAGCAACCATGTCCAAAAGTGGGAGGTAATAGAGGGATACCAGCTGCTCTTTACATGGCTGGAAATGAAATAAAGTCTCAACTTGAAACTAAACTGAGATTGAACAAATCGAAGGCAAGAGTAATATGATTCTCTTGGGGAATGGAAAGAGCAGATTTAAATTTCCACAGAAATTTAATCTCTTTTTGGAAAAAGAAAGTAAAATATGAAGGAGAATGTGATTTTTCCTAGTTGATTAAAAAATGTACAAATGCAGGGATTCACATTCACTGTCTTATAATAACCTATAATGAAATATAATCAGAAAAAATAACTGAATCACTATACTGTTCCCCTAAAACTCACACGTTATTGTGAGTCAACTATATTTCGATACAAATGTGCAAGTCCAACATAAAAATGATTTTTGATTTCTCCTACCATTAGCTGTGCAGGAAACGAAAGATAAATGGAATAGCAACCTTTTACAACCATATCTTTAAAATATGCCAGCCTAATTCTCTAGTCTGCTGCTCGGAGCTGCTGCTTTCGTACTGATCTGACTTTTATTTGTTCTCAGGTTCAGGGCCTACATGTATGCCAAGTGCTTCTTAATGGCTCTTTCTGTGAAAAGCACTTGTTTAAAAGCACTGCCTTCCCAGACACTGGGAACAAGTTTTCTAATCTACTCAGATCAACGTGTGTTCAGCTTGATAACATGGCAGCAGCTGCACAGATGAACTTTTACATGTGTGTTTTTAAGGAGTGAACCCAGCTCCATCCAACGCTAGTGACAACACCGAAGGGGGCGTCTAAACATTTTTCCTTCCTTTCATAAGCCAGGCTAGCAATGGAAATGAAGGTGAGATGGCGCAGCCCCGATCGCTTCGTCCTGTTATATTTTCCTCTTCCTGCACACTTGGAGCCCAGTCAGATGTTCCTAAAATCTGCCTAAATTGTTTCTTTAATGGCTAATTCACCACCTAGACATGGATCAGAAATGAAGGGAAGAAAGCCAGCCGTTACAACATGGAATTTCCTGCCTCCAGTGAGCCCAGTACTTACAGGTTAGGGGCAGCGGTTCTGGAGACCCCCTTGGATGGTCTCCCGACTTAGAGGCCCGGGGCCATCTGTGGAGCGAGTACTAGAAGCTGACTCGCCCTCATGGCCCCACTGGGCACTGCAGAATTTCCAAAGCCATGGCTCTGACCTTTGTCACTGGAGCCCTGAAGCTCTTGTTTGAGTTTTCTCAGAGAACAAACATTCCTTCCAGCCTGCTTTTCCTCAGGCCTCACCCTTTTCTCCCTTGGCAGCTCTGACTGCAGAGAATTGTTCCAGGCCTGAGGCGAGTGCCAGCCCGGGAAAGGTGGCCGTCGGGCTGAGGGTCTGAGCCCAGCCTTCCCTTCCCTCTGTCCTTCCCTTCCTCAAGAGTTTCTTGGGTTCTGGGACTGCCCTCAGTGTTGGGAGCGTAAAGGCCAGATACAACTCGTCCTGTCACGGAGCGTGGAGAGGAGGGTACAAGGCAGTGCAGTGAGCACTCTGCTGGTGGCAGTGTGGATGGGTGGGGGAGCATGCAGAAGGGGCACCACTGCACGGGCACACGCGCACTGCTGGAGTGTGGTCAGAGAAGGCTTTCTGGAGGACATGTCTGAGCTGCGTCCCGAGGATGGCCAAGAATTACCCAGGGTGCACTGGGGGAGATGGGGCATGTAGGCTCAGGCCCACCCGACTCACTAATACAGCCTTTATTCTGAAGGCTTTGTTAAACTATGAAAGTCCTGAATTCTTCTTGTTCCCAAAGAAAGCGAAAGAGAAGGAACTAAAATAATTTACTTGCGTTAAGGCAAAATGGTGAGAGGAGGGAGGATGAGGTTTTTGGGGTGGAAGCCAGGTCAGCTTTCAGCTTTGCTGCCTACTCTGTTGGACCAGCCCTGCTGGAGGAATCCTGAGGGAACAGGGCAGTGCCCTCGTGCCCCCATCTCTGGAAATCACTTTTATTCTCTCTTCTTTGCCCTTTGATTCTCCCATTTTATCAGAAGGAAGATAAATGGATCACACAGTTGATGACTGAGAACATCAAGGGACAGACAGCCAGAGACAGATCCAAGCATTACTCACATATTGTGGAATATGCAAATGGCTTTGTGAGTCCTTATCTTGGACTAGCAATGGATGCCTTATCGCTTGCCAACCTGGGCTCTTTGAGGCTTCTCAGTTTGGAAATGAATTAGTCAGGTCAGCATAGAAGGAAGGTATGCTCTAAAAATATCATAGGAAATGTGGAGACGTTGAGAGAGCGGGATCTTTTAAGTCAGATGGTTCTGCGTTTGAATCCTATCTTTGCTATTCACTGTCTGAATGACCTTGGGAAAGTCACCTAACACCTCTGAGCCCCACTTTCCCTATTTGTTAAAAATGGGGAGAACATCACCCATCAAAGAGAATACTTGTGAGGAGGACGTTAAATGAGAAAATGCCTGGCACACAGCCTGGCCCATAGTAGGTGCTGAGACGTTGTTATTTCCCCTCCTTCAACAAATGCTTATTGAACCTCTTCTAAGACCAGGGACAGTCTGTCTTGCTCTCCCCTGTATACCCAGTGCACGTGAAATGGCGCAACAAATTTATAATATTTGTGAATTACCGGTCACTTTCTACCCTAAATGGTAGCTATTTAGATCAATGTCTTGTGTCTCTGAATGGACAGGTAGGCCCTTGAGGACAGAATCTCCATACAGTACACAACACAGTTCTTGGCACACGTAGTAGTTGCTGAATCCACAGAACAGAAATGAAGCCCCAGGGGCAACTCAGGCAGAAGGAGGTCCTTCGAAATGTGCAGAGGCTCAGCTTGAAGCATCCTGGCAAGATGCTAACTGCTGGGAATTACCTGCAGCCAGCAAACCTGCCTGGCAGACAGTGGTCAGGCTAAAATCCCAGATCACCTTCTATTCTCGGAGCTGTTAGAGTGTTTTTTCTTTTTTGACCTTAGAGAGGTTTTAAAGAGAGTGGGTCAAATGACCTGCTCATGGCTCAGATGGGTCTCTCAATAAAGCGTGAGAAGTTGTCAGTGGCTTGTTAAGTATGTAAACTGAAGGCCCTTCTCCTCCAAATCCATTAAGCTCTTGGCTTCCTTGTGTTTGTTGTTGGTGCAGATTGGATGGTTAATTTTATGAGTTGGAGTGAGGTGCTAATGAAGTTGAAGTCGCGGGTTTGCTCTCCTGAGAGTCAGTTGCTTTCACCCAGAGAGAAAGTGTCCCGGCAGACGTGAGCCTGCCCCCCTCCACCCCCCTCTCAGCATTTCAGTCACCTCATGAAACTGCATGTCATTTGCAAACCTGGATGAGGAAGTGTTGGTCATTCCCTGTAAGCCAGCTCAGGCCATAAGTCCAGCCCATTAGCAGCACTAGGAACCTGGTTCACAGCCCCTGCCTTGTTGGGTGGTGGACTGGTCATCTCATCCGCCAAGAGCAATCTTTTGGAGCCGATGTGATGAATATCCGATGAATCCTGAGAACTGGCATTGTGGAAATGCCCAGTGCCCCTCCATTCCCAGCACATAGCCAGCTGTCTGCATCACTCATGTCAAATGTACTGTATTTGGCAGGTAGGATGAGGCATACCTGACTATGTCTCATCCTAAAGGTACTAGGATGGTACTAAAGGTACTAATAGTACCTTTAGTACCATCCTAGGCTCTATTTTGGAGGAAGAAACACTAGATTTATAGACATAGCAAGAAATACAATTTTAATTAAGTTAAAAACACGGCCCCATGCAAATATAGAATGATGTTATGTCAAAGATTTATTATCTCGTTAATGAGAGAATCAGTAAGATGATAAATCTTGTTCAAAGAGCATTTTGAAGAACTGGGCATTTATAGGTACTTCAAAAGCAAAATGTTAGAATAAGATGGCTAAGTTCAATGGAAAAGTGGTTGTTGTCCTATGGAAAAGATGACCTTTGGTGTTCTCCTTTCTACTAAACAGGAATTATTTGCATCTTGACCCAACAAGATTTACAAGTTAACATGTAACTTCAGAGAATCTAAACTTTCAGTTAATAGCAGATTCAGACAAAGGCAAGTTACCCTAGATTACTAAGCCTCGGGGGAAGGGTGTTGAACACTGCCTTAGCATGGACAGCTGCATGTTCTCAGCCTTATATCCAAGTTCCAGCTAATTTTTCTTCAAGTCTGAACTCAAGTCCATACTTAGCTATCTACTCATTTGGTGAGATGTTGGGTAGGTCAGTAGGTTTCTCCCTCACCTGGAAGATAAACACATTGTCTTTACCTTAAAGGGGTATAA